TGCCTTTACGAGTCTCTTCACCTTCTGGAATGCCAAGTATCCGGATGTTTGGACGTTCAATGGTATCTAGTCCTTCTCGTATATTATTCTCAAATTTTTGGGCCATTTTCTCTGTCTTCGTGGTGGATTTTTTCTAGGCCAGCCATTTTCTCTTCTACATCTGAGATTCTATTTTCTGAATGATCTAGTCTGCTTTTAATATTTTCAAGGGAGATTTTGACTTCCTGTATTATAGACTTCATCTCTAACAGTTCTGTTTGAGTCTTTTGTAAAGTGTGTAATTCCTCTTTTAGGTCTTGCAAGAATTTCCTCATCTCCTGGAACTCGTCAACTTCTTTCTCCTTTCTCTTTAGCAGTTCATTATCTCTCTTCTCTTCCATCTCTGTTAGCTTCGACATTATGAATGCTCTAAATTCCTTATCAGACATTTCCATGATTTTCACCAAACTGCTTGTGAATGAAGAAGAGTTACTCTTTTCCCTTGGAGGAGAGGTATTTTCTTGTTTTCCCATATTTCTTGTGATCCGGCGGTGATTTCTTGTCATCTGATGGATGGTGTGTTTCTTTCAAATTCTTGAAGTTCAGTCGGTAGCTCGTTTGCTGGAGGCTGAATTATCAGTAGCAAATCTTCATTCCCTGAAATACCTAGTTCGCTGGAGCCATGTAGAACCTTCTTCTGAAGGCCCGGCTTCTTCTGCCTAGTTCGCTGGAGCCATGTGGAACCTTCTTCTGAAGGCCTGGCCTCATCTGCCACTAGCTCATTTGCTGGAGGCTGAATTACCAGTAGAAAATCTTCATTCCCTGAAATACCTAGTTCACTGGAGCCATATGGAACCTTCTTATGAAGGCCTGGCCTCCTCTGCCAATAACTATCATTTTTAAAAAACAGCAGTTGCTAAGGCCACCAGGTGGCATGATGGTTAAGGTATTAGACTCCCACATGGCCAATCGTGGTTTGAATCCTGGACCTGGCAGCTTGCTTTTTCACTTTCTGTTTCTGAATCTCTCTGCTCAAATTATTGATAATAATAATAGTAAATAAACAAAATTGAATAAATAATTATTTAAAAATAACAGTTGTTTATTAATTATGCTCTGAACTTTTATGTTAATCATTGTGCTAGATGTCTTAAAGTGAAATTATAAGATAAGTATCATCAGCCACACTTTACAGATGAAGAAACTCATTCGGAAAGTTTGAATGCCTCAAATCGTTCTCATCGGTAACCAAGTCAGAGTCTGACCCCATATCTGATTCAAATCCCAAGTTCTTTCCACTATATCAAACAATTTTTCATTTAATGGACTCAAATTACAAGGTTTCTGTGGGGAGCCAAGAAGGAGATGTGAGAAATGTGCAGGACGAGACCACCAGATTATGGCCAGGATCATCATCCAGACATGGCCTTGGGCGGCTGGATTGCTATGGGTAGAATGTCCTGAAACTTGTTATGGGAAAAGATGTTTCAAACAATCCTTGCACAAAGTCCCTCGCCAAGAAAGCCAGATGGTTGTACAGAAATACTAGCAATAAAGTACACTCGGGGCTGACCAGTATTGACTGGCAGTCCTCCCGTTTCTATCCTGTCTTCTTGTCTTTCTTTAATCCTCACCCCCCAACTCAGGAACTGTTCACTGTCGGTGGGTCCAACAGGTTTCTTATGTGGGACCCTGAGCCTGTTAGGGGAACATGCCTGCAACCCTCTGAATATACTGCAGTTTACACAAATTAGATTACCTTCTCTATCAGGAGACCAAATCCCCATTGATCCACCAAAAACCATGTGGTTCAGTCACAAGACTTGGCTATTCAAGTTATAGTCTTCGTGTACGCATAAAGAAGGGTTTGCAGTTAGAATGGTCGCTATGATGTTTTCAGTGCAGAAATTCTAAATTACTGATGGCAAAAAAAGTGGAGGAAAAATAGGCACTTGTTGTTTTTTTATAAAGGGCAAAAATAGGCTTAGAATCCTTTCTCCTACATCCTCTTTCTGGGATTTTGGGCATGCACACACACACACACACCTGGTGTGATTTTCAAGCTGCTGGGTCCAGGACTCAAACTGTGGTTGGCCTTGTGGGAACCCAGTGTTGTAACCACTGTACCACCTACTGGCCTCTCTCTCTCTCTTCTCCCTCCTTTTTAATTGCCAGAGTGTGCCTATACTCACCAGAGAGAGAGTCAGCACATCACCCAGCAGAGTGTGGTCCCACCCCCATCCTCCCTTCTCCATTCCTCCATCCTGCTAGGATTTGGGGCATACATGCTCACACGCCCAATGTGTTCCTCAAGCCCTTGGGGCTGGGACTTGAACTGTGATCAGGCATGTGGGATCCAACACTGAGGCACTGTGCTTAGCCGCTGCACCATGGGGTTGGCCTTGAAAATCTATTTGTGAGCATCTTAGGATACACAGAAAAAAATCAAGAGTATAGAATGTTTAGGGGAGAGAAATATTGAATTCAAATTATACTTGAAAACTGAAGATTATCCTCTCCATCCATTCTTTTTATCACAATAATAATCTCTCTCCTTTCAGGATTTTGGGGATGCATACACACATCCAGTGTGTTTCTCAAGGCTCCAGATCTGGGACTCAAACTGTGCAGTCAGCCATGTGGGATCCAGTGTCCTTAACATTTAAAATTTCCCTCAAAGGTAGAAATAATTAAAGGGAAAAAAGTTTAATTTGACTAAATTTTTCAAATAATTTATATATAAAAAACCATTAAATAAATAGAAAATATAATTAAAGATATTTAAAAGTCACTACATGTAACAATTAAGATTCAATGTCTTAAATATAAAAAATTATTTCAAAATATTTCAAAGAATATAAATACTGGGGCCAGCAGGTGACATGGAGTTTAAGATACTGGATCCCACATGGCTGACTGTTTCAGTTCCAGACCCAGCAGCTTGAAAATTACGCTCAGTGTGTGTGAATGCATGCCCCAAA